AAAATCTGACATTATGAAATATTAGTCCCGTTTTTTTAATTTTTGTATTTATAACGGTAGAGCATTTTGAAAAATCCGTCAATGTGTTGGTTAATAACACAAACTAATGGAATTTTTACCAAAGAGTAAATAAAATATACATCATTAAAATCTTTGATAGGAAAACTATTATCATAGGAACAGCCTTAGAAAAGCTATAGTAAGGGCCAACAAACGGAATCAAATGGGCTTTTATTAATATATCTATAGATATGTTGATCGATACAAAAGAGACAATTGCTAAGTTGATTCTTCATTATTTACATGCAGTCAAGCATATGCAGAGTAGTGGCGTAGTGGATAAACGCCATGGCCCGAGATCGTTGACGTTAAACAACTTTCGCGAGGATCGGTCACAGGATGGGTGATCAAAAAATTTATTTCGAGCTACTCCGTGCTTTGGAAGGCATGTTAAGCCGTTGTTCCCGGGTGCATTTGCAGTCACTAATACCCTCCAATTCGCATTAGGCCAGCGTAGAGGGTTATGGCCCATCCTCCTAAACAAATCATAAGGAAGGCCTGAGTCCTTACAGTGGGGATGTAAAGGGCTGATGATGATGTGACACTTTCGAGAACGACATCCCTGTTTATATATTACACCTTGGTTGTATTTTGAATATAAAAGACTTATTAAAGACGCTTTCGCCGAGCAGATTTATCATATAATAATGTCTTCCTAAAAGTTCACACAGACAGTTCTTTGATGCCCGTAACTGACGCTTAAGATATAATAACCGAAATGAAAAAAAAAGATATAAGTACCACCTACAAAAATAAATGAGATCCTATCAAAAACATAACATGTACAAAAATGCACAAGTCTCAGAACTCAAGTCTTCTGCCGTAAAAAATTATAAAATCAACATGAACCAAGTTGATTAAGTTAGTACCTATATTACTGTGAAAGCAACTATCCAATCTTGTCATAGATTTAGGTTGCCATGGTAACATTTTGATTCCCCATAAAAACTCCCACTAACATTTCATCCCTTTAAATACTTACGGATAACATACCTTCCTTAAACTACTCAAATACCAATTTTCATCGATATAGGTCCAAAAGAAAAGAAGTTTTATACAAACGTTTGACAAATTTCCAAAAATCCGTTTTTATTACACCTCCACGCAATAAGACGAATGTACCCTCCAAATTTCAAGTCTCTACGACCAGCAGTTTAGGCCGTGCGATGGCTAACATTCAGTATGTCAGGTATGCCAGGACATCTAATTTTATACCTATTTATGTATAGATTAATATAGATATTGTTGCCAAACGATAAAATCAAACCATAATTACTTATTATATTTAGGCTGTTACAAGCACTTGTGAAAGTGAAACTCTATGCCATCCATTCATCTTTTCGGTATTTCGATAAAACCCGGCAAGAAAATCAGCAAGGGCTTTTTTAGTATAGAGCAGTCTCACCTGCACTAGCAGCGATCGTTCACGAGAATAATATAGTCTTCCCATCACTCAACCATATTTTAGAGAACAACCGACCCACACGACACTACCGCAGAGACTTTAATGAAAACATGACATACGCTAGCTACCCACTCCTTTTTTATACATTTGTTTGTGTCAAGCAGGCAAACAATCTCTGTATAATTTAGCACGATTATATTAATATCGAAGGCATTGCATTTCATTTTGTGAATATTATTGTCCTTTAATAAGCATTCTATGTCATACAGTACAAGGTAAGAGAATAATCAATTCAAATACATAGAATATGAAATACGCCAATTATATTAAACTGTAGTTCCAAATAAAGTTTGAATCAATTTCCACTTGCATCTTATGGAAAGGAATTACAGCTTCTTTTCGTGTGAATAACCATCATCATCATTACCAGCCTATTCCCATCGCTGGAACTCAGGTCTTTATTTATGGATGAAATCAGATGGAATCGAATCGAATAAGACAAATGGGCCATGACCCACCACGCGTCTCCTGTACGGATTGCTGGATATTAACGAATGCAGATGCAGCTAGTACCAACGGCTTAACCTTCCTTGCGAAGCACGGAGGAGTTCGAGATAATAAAATTTTGGTCACCCATCCTATGGGCAGCCATTTCTATAGTTTCTTAACAACCGTATCGCAGACTAAGCGCGCTAGCCACTGCCATCGAGTTTGAGAAGCTATGTGAATAACCAAGAGTTCATGATAATAAGCACCAACCCTAATACAACGTAAAACAATAAGCAAATGCGGAACCAACCTCCCGCATCGGCTCTATGCAAACTTAAACTAGTTTACAAAATGAGATAAAACAGGTCTAAGAAGTTATATGACTAACAACTTTAGCAAAAGTAAACTTTGCTTTAAACTTTAACTTTGTGGATAATTAACTCAGGGGAATGTACGAGTAAGTACCTACATGTAAGTATGACTAGCCGGACTTGTGTACATAACAAACTTCAATTGAAACTGTAAACGAACTGAATGTTAATTAGGAATGTTGATTTATCAAATATGTTTAAGATTTTGGCCACGCTCTTCGTGGAAAGAAAAGTTTTGAGATTAATAGAGGCATACATAAATTCTACTTAATAATTTCGTTTAGTAAAATAACGAATATTATAGTTGGATTTACTAACCTTATTTTTTTACTAGTTAGTTATTATTCCAAATTAAAATTGTTTTCTTTAGCCTTTTCTTTATTGTAATATTAATATTTTTAGTAAACATAAAAGACATTATTATTTTTACATGAACACTTTGAGCTTTGCTTAAAGAGATAAAGGGTAAAACGAGACCATATTACTAAGACACCACTGTTCGTCCGTCTGCCTGTCCGTCTGTATATTATGAACCGTGATAGGTAATCCGTTGAAATTTTCACAGATGATGGTTTGCCGTTGCCGCTATAATAATAAATATAAAAAAAAACGAATAACATGTGTAATTTTTTTGCTTTTTTCATAAATAAATGGTATAAAACTCTTTGTTCGCGAGTTCGACTAGCACTTGGCCGGTTTTTACACTACCTAATTGATTCTAATACTGTCGCCTTTTTATTTTTCTTAATAAGCCAAAACATTATTTTAATTATCTTTTGCCTATTTGTTAATTCTGTTTTACAAATAACAAGAACATTTTACTGTGAATTAAATTATTTTACAATACTACCTAATTTCGAAACCAATTCAATTGAATTAAATAGTTCAAATTTAGAACTTAATAATAAATAAAGGAAAAGGTGACTCAAAATATTTTTTTCTAATAACGTTCACTTCACAGTCAAATTCCTAATTTACAATGGATTTTAAAAACCAATTTATCCAGTTCGCATTACTGGACTTCTGACACGGTAGAGGCGCTCGAGGATTAATATTTGAATAAATCTAACTATAAATCTTGTTACCCGCCAACCACCCGCTGCTTTACTTATATTGGCTTTGTGACTGCTTATTGTTATTATCAATTCATTTTGGAATTTATGAAAATAATCAAGTACGTACTGTGTTCAGATTTTTTATAATAACTGCCGTATCTATTTTCTGCGTGCTCAGTTTGCGTTAATAGAAATTAAATGTGACACTGATTTAAACATCTAAAACGAAATAATTAAGTTTTGTTTTGAACAATAAAAACATATTGGATATTTTTTTCGGTCAAAATTAGGATAAAATACAGTTTTGTTAAGTTCTAGATATTTTCCTATGTTTTGAATCATAATAAAATTACATGCATTTTGTTTATATATTATAGACAATTGTTGAATAAGTAAATCTCAGGCATTTACCCAATGATTTGCTGTTGTAGAAATAGAAATATATTTTTTAAGAATATCAATGATAACTGTATAACTAGGGTTATGTGTTTTACTTGTGGACGTTTTTCAGAATTAAGAATAAAGTTATTATTTTCGCTAAGACCCTATATTTTATGTGCACGTTAGCATACTATTCATCTTAATTATAAATTAACTCTTTATAATATATTATAGCAGTCTATGCCAGGTAAAATATAATAGTTTTAGAGAAAATAAAATATTTAAAAAAAATGGTCAGTCTATTTAAATATCATACAATTTTAATATAAAGCAAATATTCAGATACATAATACTTTGAGCAGTTAAGTTTTATTAATCTTTAGAAAAATAAATTAAGTTAAATTTTATAGACTAGTCTCATGACATGATGAATTTTGTTGTCTCATGACAATAAAATTAGCAATCAAATCTAAGCCTATTTGCATAGGTGGAGCTCCTTCTCAGCATTCCATCCTCCCAAAAGCTTTAAGGTCAGTGTACATATATCTTTGTTTTTATTTGATAATATTTGAAAATAGTTTTACAATTCAGAATATGTACCTATGGAAAGTCCAAAGACACAATATTTTTTCGTCCATAGGTACAAATTAACGGTTATAACTTCTAAATTGCCTCTGCTTAAAATACATCACGCATATCTATGGAGATTTAATACCAAACCAAAAACAATATATGTAACAAATCATGTAATTATATAAAATATTTTACTTTATATAACTAAACTATTAAAACGTGCGACCATGTACAACTATGGAAATAACGTAATTAATTTAGTTCCTAACACAAAATAATTTCGTTCTATCGTATATAGTATCGTATCCATTAGCTGATTGACTTTTAAATGAGAAATAAGATTTAAAAGGTAATTGTTTTACGTTTAATGTGAAATTGATTTAATGATATGGCTATGATGAGTTCAACAAATAAACAAATATTAATAAATTCATTTTATGCGAACATTTATTTGTAAACAAACGTTAGCTTCACGTGCTTGTTTGTGTGTAACGGGCACCTTTAAGAGGGCGATTAAAAACTACAAAATGTCAAAAAGCAGAAGCACGGCTGGCGACCGCGGCTTTTTGAGGGGAAAGTGGGGAGAAGGGGAGCCCTAGCCGCCAGTATCTCGCCGACCGCCGCGCCGCGAGCACTTATGTAATGTGCACCGCACTTTGACGCGAGATGGCCTCGTCCACCGGCAACATCGTCGTTGAATGGTTGCGATCTCTCCACTTGGGCCAATATGCGGAGAGTTTCATAGACAATGGTTATGACGATTTAGAAATATGTAAGCAAGTTGGAGAGCCTGATTTGGACGCAATCGGGGTCCTCAATCCTGCACATCGTCAAAGATTGTTGCATTCCGTTCGAACTTTGAGAGAGGAGGGTGCAGCTGCTGTTTACTTCACATTAGAAGAAGCTGCCGCTGCTCGAGACTCATGCCGTTGTGAGGAGGAGGCGAGAAAGGAACAGGCAGCAGCTGCAGTGGAACCAGCGAAATATGCGGATGAGTACGAGGAAGGCAAAGCGGAGTTAGTGAAGATACCCCGTATGCAATTGAAGCGATTACTTCGTGAACGTCTCGCTCAGGATGGAATCCGGCTGAGCCTGCAGCCTTATTCTACTACGGTCAGTGTTAGCCCGACACATAAATGTCAACGGGCAGTGCTTCTCGCGGTTACAACACGTGATTTGTGAAAGTGATCTTTTGGTATTGATGAATGAATTCATGTGAGAGTTTTGAGTAGTGTTTTATAAAGTTCACATTGATGGGCCGCGTAGAGACACTGCCCGTGTTATTTCTTTTGAATGAGCGTGTGTGGCGCGAGTCGTCTTCGACCGCCCCGGGCGGATCGCATCGAGACGTGTTGCCATAAAGTTTGTTGCGTGCGTGATTTCCCTTGAGATGAGGAGTTTGCGCGCCTTCCTGTCGTGAGAAGATTGTAATCGCGTGCCTCCCGACTCTAAATTGGGTTTTACGATAAATCGTGTAACCTGTTTCAGTTCCCCGAGGCGCTAATTAGTAATACAGCTTGTTCTGACATGAAACCGAGATCGCAACGCAATAAAACTGATTGCGATTTTTAGAAGTCATTAGTGATTTATATTTACCATTAATTAATGTCTATGTATATAAATATCTTGATATATTATTCTTGAATAAGATGGTATTACTACCTTATTCTTCATATAACTTCTTACCAACATTGAAGTCAGAGTGGGAAAATAGCTTTTAGTTTAAATATTTGAAAAATTTCAAGAATATTTACCCCTTTATAACATACATAAACACTGAAATCAAAGTGGACAAATATAATTTACTTGCAAATATCTTACTTTTTGTACTAAAATTATTTGCCTTATCTTTAATTGTCTTTTTTTAAGTACATTTATTAAATGTTCGTATCTTTTACATCAACTTTTGAATGGGTACTTACTAATATAAATCAGATTAACAGAAATAATTGGTCAGTGAAACACGTATGGTTGAAATTATTTTGCTTTTTTCTGTACGGTAATCTTATTCGATTTATTTTTGGTTTCGTTGAAATTTTTAAATGTTTTTAAAGTAGATGAAAAACTAAATCGGAAATTTGAATAAGTTTGTAAAAAGTTATTTAAAAATTATTGCCATAAGACTTTTATAAGAATTCCTAAGAATTATTTTTAATAGGTATCTATAGAAAACTAATAAATAACTTATAGCTTTTCAGTAAAAGTATCTCTATAATGCAGAATTATATTCGCGAAAATAACTTACACATTCTAAAATCACGTATTACATCTACTATAGAACTTCAAAAACAATTTACTCAGCACATTCCACCGCTTCATCACATGGGCGGAAGAGCTTAGTTGATATTTTAATTGAGGTGTTATTAATTATTCCACTGGGTAGTGATTAAGAGGGCGGAATATTACGCCGAGGACACGCCCTTTGGCGTCGTGTAAATCGTATCCAACATTTGTCAGAATGCGTATGTAAAGTCTTTCAAAATTGAGTCAACAGTCTTATCATTCGGTTAATATAATTTTATCAAAGATTATTTACTTATTAACGATGCTGAGTGCAATAGTGTTTTAGTATTACTGTGATTATAATAATAAGATCTCTAGAAGCCATTTTTACAACAATTTGAATTTCCTAGCAAACTTTATACAAATGTAGAAAAGGTAAACTCGGTGATATTTATGGTCGTACCAATACACTGTGCTGCCACTGTATTACCAATACTGTTTTACTGTTTCCTGAACGTAAAACCACATAAAATATATGGGTAACCTTCCACGTATTCCTTAGCTTTTATTATATACTTGTAGAAATTCTTTGTTACTTGTGTAAGCGTTAACTATGCATTGTTTCAAACAAACTAACTAAAAATGTTACTAAATAGCATGCCACAAACGCTAAAAACTTTCAAACATTTCTGCAGAAAATTTTAGTGTCCATTCACCACGACAACTTTAATATATAACTTTTTGACGAACTTGAATCATTAAATAACCAAGCTATAAAAAAGGTTTAAAAACGAAGTTCGTTTTTCAATTACTCATACTATTACACTCTTATATCGGATTGTTAAGCGATGAGCCTACCGTAATTACCTATGATGATTTTTTACCGGTTTCGGTCCCCATGTTGAAACCTGTTCAAGCTCAAGTGCGCCAAGAATCCACATCGAACAGTCGCCCGCTTGCTTGCCGGCAAAAAAAGAATCTAAGAAAGCCACTGGTATCACAAACATCCAACCGACTCGCCCTTGAGTAGAACGACTACAGTAAATATTTACCGAGAGCAAAGTTTGTGCTAGACACTTTTCCTAAATCTGTTTATTGGGGACAAATTTAACATCGGCATTACATTATTACACTGAATTAATCATGACCATATGTGTATTGGAAATTTCAACGAAATTAACATTTAATTTCATAATATCCCTATTTGTATCGATTTCACCATTGAATTCAATTAGAACGTGCCACTATTAAAAGGATTCAGAACTCTTCTATCAGTATAGTATATTGTGTGCTAGCACACCCTGTGTCTACCTGGGTACATTCCTTTTAACCGTTCGCAGATCGAACAATAAAGATCGACAGCAGATTTTTTTTTTGAGCCATTTGTAAAGAGATTACCGCCGGAACTGTACACAAAAGCTCTGACGAAATTTGTCGGGTATCAGTAACGTAGTTCCGACCTAATAGGCCAATATTTATGTTTTGTTACCACCTATTGTGCGTGCCACATCCGCTCGCCGTCGATAATGTACGAAGTTACCAATGATTCTATAGGCCTCATAAAACAGAGGTCACGGTCACAGAAAGCTTAATAGTCCTGATAATTTTATCTGCAGTTGTGTGTGACTAATCTTTTGTACTTTATAGGAGAGTTATCCCTAGCTATGAAATCCCGCCTTTGATTTGTTGCTAATTTTGTTAACGTGGCACGGGTGTAACGGATTATACTGTTATTAGCGCTTCCGAATGAATTATAATTAAATACAAAATTTACTTTATATCAATAAGCAAACTGATTTCGCAACAACACATATAATTATCATTATCAGGTGTTATTGACATTATAATGCAAGATATAAATACGTCTGAAGCTAAGAGTAGTGCGACGAAATGTTTCGTTTTTATCGTGTCCACTTACCGATACTTTTATGCATAGGATTTGTTTAAATGTCATGAATTTTTATTAGAAATAACATATAGTCATTATGTTATTTCTGTTCGAGTTCACATTTTTTTTAAATACGGAATTCGTATAAACATAGAAGATTTTTTCATTGGTATATCAATTTAATAGAAATAGAGATATTTTATTTTTGTATGAACGGTCATTCTCGCAGTATAGTCTATAGAAGCTGTATATCAAGTACGATTAGCACAAAAAAAAAAACAATACTAAAGTTTGTTATTTGTGCCCGATACGAATTCGTTTTCGAAATATTGACAAATTGGACATCTCGTGTGCTAAGTTATAAAGGGTTGGTAGTTAATATTGCTAAAATAATTAATGATATTATTTAATTGAGTCCGTTAGCGTTAGATTAAAAAAAATTAGACAACGTCACCTTTACGTTATTCCTAAACTAAACATAACTCAAAGTAAACATAAGGAACCCAAGGAAGTAAAGAAAACTTGGTTGCCTACGTTTCTTTATGGAACAAAAAAATAACATTAACTATAAAGTTCTAATATGACTTAGTTCGTTTAAACATGACGTTTTACAAGTAGTGCATATAATTGGCCTTATTTTATTACTGAATATATCTATTTTTATTTCAGGTATTTTTTACTAATTTCACGGAATTGTAAAGTAAACCTTTATTTTAACCAGGCAGGTTTTTTACCTAATAGTACTCCTTTGATAGTAGCATATGTGTGCGTAGTCATGCAGTGTAACTTGGCCTGCTCGGCATTTGTCAGAGACTTTATATTTCATGCGTCTCTGGTAATTTTATTTAGTAAAACTTTTGTGTATCATTTACAAGTTTGTTTTGAATATATGTTACGAGTTCTAAATTTAAAAGAAGGTGCATATGAAGCTTTAGAATAATTAAATTACATAATTATGTATGTGCCAACGTATACTCATGTTTTATACCATAGGAACTGTATAAGCTTTAAACTTATATGAAGTTAAAACTAAAGTTGTACTCCGTAAAACAATAAATATATTAGTGTTCCAATCTATACAAAATCTACAAAGATCCTATATAATAAATTACACAAAAATAAATAGTAAGCAGTTGAATCATTAGATTATCAGATAAAGTGTTTTCTGTGAATGATATCGTTGAAAAATATCAGGTTACGACCGATAAAATATGAAAGAGGAAAACGTTCAATGAATTCACAAACATATTAGATAATGGTATTGTTCGATCTTTGATTTTCATTATAACTTTTATATTTTGACAATAAATTTGTAATTTGTTTGTATTTTATTTGATTTTATGTGTTTTTTTTTACACAAGCTGAAGAGCCTCAATTGGTAATATTCACGTACTTTGTTTATGGCGTTTATGAAATGAACTGGTGGCAAATTGTAGTGGCTTCCAAAGACGTCTAGTTGGTAATTTCGTTAGAAGCCTCCGCAACTGATTTTGGTAGGCACTAGTTCACGAATAGATCAAACTTGAAAATGCAGATGTGAGTATGGCGAGTTTCCTTACCATGTTTGGCTGTTTGCCTTCAAGTTGAGTAAAGCCGGCAAACTAGTCCGGGAAGTGTGTTGGTGATCGTAAGGTCAAGTACCAAATTTGTTCTTGAATTAGTTCAGCTTTGAGCTTGAGATTAGCTTTTGAATTTTAAGCTGAAACTTGGTTTGATGACTTTGATGATGATCGGTTGTATTAGAAACATAACAAAATCCTTTTTTAATTCTCATATTGATATTTTTGAAGGGACGTAATTTATAAAAAAATATATAATATAGTATGTCCTTGTCATGATTTATTGAACTTCATACAACAACCTGTCATTGAATTGAATTCAATGCTCTCATTGTTCAGTAAAAGTTAATATTGTTTTCACTTGACGTATATGAACTTTCTAGTTTCATGCTATTGAAAAAAAAATAGGTAATTAACCAAATAGGAAACAGAAAAAAAAAATC